ATGTCTGTAGGGATTGACTTGGTATCATAGGACCTCTGGTACCTTCTCCCCTCCTGGGGACAGAACCACTTACTTCACCATCCTACCTCCAAAGTTGTGAAAACCAAAGAGGGGGAGAAAAGACCCTAGATATGGACACATATACAGTAAGAAGTTTTTTCCCTTGGGGGGCCCGCTACCCAGCTCCCATATGAATCACACCTGGAGGCTTATTCCTAGTTATGAGCGTCCGGCCTTAGCTTGGTTTGTTTCTAGCCAGCTTTTCTTAAATCATCCCATCTACCTTTTGCCTCTGGGCTTTTTCTATTCCCTTACTGTGTAGTTGGGTGGCTGGCCCTTGACGTCCTCCTCTCCTTGTTCTCTTGCTCTTCTTTTTCTCTTGGTCTTTCTCCTATTTATTCTCTCTGCCTGCCAGCCCCGCCTATCCTTGCTCCTGCCTCACTATTGGCCATTAAGCTCTTCATTAGGACCACCAGGTATTTTAGACAAGCGAAGAATCACAGCTTCACCAAGTTAAACAAATGAGGCATAAACAGAAGTCACAGCCTGGTCTACAAGAGCGAGTTCCAGGACAGCCTCCAAAGCCACAGAGAAACCCTGTCTAGAAAAACAAAAAAAAAAAAAACCCAAAAAACCAAAGTCACACACCTTAAAATAATATTCTGCAGTACACATGTTCCCACAGGAGTAAGTCACCCAGGTTAAAGCCCTGCAAGTGCTCATGTCACTGTCAGATATCTTTATAACCATTAACTTCCTACTTCCACTCCTGCTCTCACTGTGGAGACCAACAACCCTGTAATCACCAGGTTGGCTCAGGAAGGCCCTGATGCTACAAAATCACTTTACCAGTAACTCCTTGCCTAAAGGTCCATTCCTGGATACAGGCACTGTGTCTTGTGGCCCAGACTCATCAGGTTTCCAGAAGGTAATGCTTTTAGGTAAAGAAACAGACGCAGTGTATGTTCGTATCAGCTGGAAGGCTTTGGAAAGCTGTTTCCCTACGAATGTTTTTTGTTTGTTTTGTCTTGTTTTTGAAAGGAACTTTAATTTTGCAATTGTCAGTCAGGCAATGGTGGTACATAACTTTAGTCCCAGAACTGGGGAGGCAGAGGCTGGAGGATTTCTGAGAGTTTGGTAAAACTGGCCCAAGGTCAGCCTGATCTACAAAGTTAGTCTAGGAAAGCTCGGGTTACACAGAGAAACATTGTGTCAAAAAAATAAAACAAAATTTGTAATGGTCAAAGAAAAAATTAGGAATAAAAAGTCAGATTTTCCTCCAGAAGCCTGTTATTAAGAAAATAGTGGTGCAAGCCTTTAATCTCAACACTTGGGAGGCAGAGGCAGGTGGATCTCTGTGAGTTAGAGGCCAGCCTGGTCTACAGAGTGAGTTCCAGGACAGCTAGGACTGTTCCACAGAGAAACCCTGTCTGGGGACATAAAAAAGAAAAGAAAAATGCTGTTACATAGGCATAAGGTTGGGTGTACTTTCTAAAAAGATAGCATATAGCTAAGACCAAGAACTTACTTTTCTTTTAGTAAATGAAGTCATACTACAGTTTTTGAGGAACAATTAACAGGATTATAGCCTGACAAAGAACACAGGTCACAAGGGTGGAAGAAGTATTTACTAGGACATAGGGAGTTGAGACATATGCTTGACTGTGGGCAAAGTTCAAAATCTTGTCTGTAAAATGCCTGGAAATCTCTATAGATTTACGGCTGGGAGAGGAGCTATGTTAAACTCAAAGATCACTCACATTTATACCTTAACTGTGCCTTATTGCTATTTTAACATTCTTGTTTGCAATATTTCTACTAAAAAGCAATATTGTTGTTGTGTGCTTTACTCTTTTTTAGTGGCCTACCACCCGGCTCCCAAATAAATCACACACAGAGATTTATTTTTAGTTATGAACGCCTGGCCTTAGCTTGGCTTTTTTCTTGCCAACTTTTCTTAATTTAAACTATTCCATCTATCTTTGGCCTTGGGGCTTTTTACCTTTCTCTATTCCTGCAAACCTTCTTTTTCCTTCTTACTCCATGCCTGGCTGGGTGACTGGGTGGCTAGCTCCTGAAGTCCCCCTTCCTCTCTCATTCCCAGAACCCAGATCTTCTCTCTCCCACATTTCTCCTCTTATTTATTTTCTCGGCCTGCCTGTCCCACCTATTTCTCTTTCTTGCCTTGCTATTTGCCATCCAGCTCTTTATTAGGTCCATCAGGTATTTTAGACAGGCACAGTAACATAGCTTCACCGAGTTAAGCAAATGTAACATAAACAAAAGTCACACACCTTAAAATAATATTCCCCAAGGGCGCACGCCCTTGATCCCAGCACTTGAGAGGCAGAGGCAAGGAGTTCTCTGTGAGTTCAAGGCTAGCCTAGCTTACAATTCAAGTTCCAGGACAGCCAGGACTGTGAAACCCTGTCTCAAAAAAAAAAAAACCCAAGTCTTTACAGTGAATTCACTCAGACTCTGGGTGAGAGACCCCTTTCCCTTCCCACAGCTTCTTGGTTTTCCCTGATTTTCTATTCGGCCTTGATTATCCATTTCTAAGGGCATTTTTTCCTTGTAAAGATGCAAGTTCATAGCCAGTTTGTCCCTACAGACAGCATGCATTATTCTGCACCAAAAGACAAGGGGCCAGCACATTGCACACGTGGCAGACAAGAAGAGGCCCTAGCAGATAACAGGCCATATGGGTTAGATTTTTGTCTCTTGTTCTTATGACTACTATTGCCTCTGGGGAATGACTCCATGGATCCAAGTCTAGGAACTTCTCTTCCTCTCTCACCCAGAGACACAGCCCTTTGAGAACTCTGTTGTGTTTGAGCCCAGAAACAAGAATTAGGTAGAAGATTTTTTTCTTTGAGATTACAATATAATTAAAATATTGCTCCCTTCCCTTTCCTCCCCCCCCCAGACCCTCCCATATACCCCTCCTTGCTCTCTTTCAAATTCCTAGCAAGAGGAAACTTATTACCCACCTTCTAATGCCTTGTAAGGGAAGTCTTTTCCTTTTTATTATGTTATTTGTGTGTATTCCTGAGCATGCCACACCAGACATGGACACCCAGGACTCACATGGTAGAAGGAAATGTTGAAACAATGAAGCATTGCATGAATGCATTTTGCTACCACCCCAGAAAATGAGTGTTAAACCGTCTCTTACCACCACCTCCATTAAACAAACTCATTCCAATGTACCTTCTTCAAATGACCATGGCACAATATCTGAGGGCAGCACCTGGAGAGTCAGTCAAGGAGCACCAGGTTTCTTCCTATGGAATGTTTGTCACGGTGCCCGGGGCAGGCAACTGTAACATCTCAATGGATGAGTGAGCAGCCTGGCACCTGACCCACAGGAAGCTTAATGAGTGTTTGGAGGAAGCATCCATCTTGGCTGGCCAGATGAAGGAGTCGCTGGGGTGTAACCAGCGACAGGTGATGACAGCAGGGACAGGAGTCAGTGGAATTGTTTTGTTTGTTTGAAAACAGTGTAACCCAGGTTGGCCTTAAACTCAATACTTGGCTAAGGATGAGCTTTAACTCCTGACCTTCCCATCTCCACCTCCCAAAGGGTCAGGATTACAAAAATAATGTCAACATACCCAGCTCACTTTTTGTTACTATTGTTGTTATTTTGAGACAAGGACTTGTGTAACTCAGTGCAGTCTTGAAAGTATGTAGTTGCTTACAACAGTAAAGTGGGGTGGTGCTAACACAAACTGAGGCGCTAACCATGGACTCAGGGCTGTCATAAATATTAATGAAACATCAGGGGGAGGGAATGAAAATTGAATGTCAATGTAAATCTTTCTCCTAAACAGACGATTCAATGGCACTTCCAAGGGGACCCTTATGTACAAGTCAACATAGGGCTTAAGTCACAGTTATTGGCCATTTTATCCATCTTGTATGTGATATTTCTCAAAGGTGTTTGTTTTTTGTTTTTTTGGTTTTTTTATTTTTTGCAGGTGGCCTGGTTAACTGTGTTGGAATTCCTGGTTGTTCAGAGACAAAACCAGAACCAGGAGGGTGGGGTATTTACAGGAATATGTTAATTACTTCTAGAGTATTTTCTATCTAGCGATCCTGTCTTGAGATAAGATGTGATACAATCCAGGGTAGGGTGAGCAAAGTGCCCCCTCTGGATAAGACCTCTGGGTAAGAGATAGGAATTTGAAAACACCTGACTAAATGACATTGCACAAGCAGGGCTGAGGTCAGTTGTGTCACTCCAGAGCCTCCCGCTTTGCTAGGTGGCTTCAGGCTCTCCAAGTGCTGGCCATCAGCTCAGAGAGAGGGGACTGATTCTGCTCCACCTACTGATACCCTATATACCCTAACAGGTCGTGGGTAAACGTGGTCGGGGGTCTTTGACTTTCCCGTAATGCTAGCTCTAGGGATCCAGGGCCAACTAGCTTCGGCTCTTGGCAGGAGCACCGGGCAGCTCCTCACCGTCCTTGACTTTGGGGCAGAACCCACTGTGCAGGAAGGAGCCTTGGTGCCACAGCCTGGACGACAGTGCTGTTTTAACAAGGAACTCGCTCTGGTCCAATCAGCACGCCCGAGCACAATATGCTGGCTTCAACCAGTCGCTGGGAGCTCCAAGCGCCGGCCCGCAACTGGGTGACACCAAAAGGGGGACCTAAGCTTGCATTTGCCTTTCGCCTCTGCGATGGAACCTCCGGGCCAATGGACTCCCGGTGATGGGTGGGGAATACGTGGGGATTGTCTTGGCGGTAGGTCCACGCAGAAGGATGGGGGGGTCGTGTAGGGTCTCAGTTGAGTGTTCTTAAGGAATTCCCTCACGGACTCCTTCCCTACCCTTCTTCAGGGTTCCAACGCCAGCATGAGTCACGTCAAATCCAGCATAGCTCGCTGCACAAGGCGCAGCCGGCTCCAGCCGCCCCCGCGTCGCTGGTTGGTACGGCTCTCACCCCTGCGCCTGCCTTGGTAGTGTCCTACGGGGGCGGGGCCTGGGCTTGTTGTCCGCGGAGTCCCGCGGTGCGCGTGCGCTGTAGCCAGTGTTTGCTCAGCTCGCGACCGTGTCGTGGGTGATTCTCTAGTGGTAAGGGCTTCGGACCAAAGCCCGGCGCCAGCTGAGGCAGGGACACAGGTGGGCGTGGGGTCCTGGTCTCCGGTGACACCCACCGGCCGCTGTCCTGTCTGGCTCGTGTCACTGGGTGTGTCCACGGCGCGGCAGCTCCTGGGACGCCGAGTTTGAGCAGCTGATGGGCTAAGAGGCGGCGTCCCCACTTCTGCTCACCTGGATGCAGGTGAGGCTTGGAGGGCGTCCTGTGTCCATCCGCGTGCAGTGGGGCTGCCATTGCCTAACCACCCGAGGAAGAGGCATTGCTTTGGGTTTGGCTCCCAGGTCGTGGGGCCAGCGAGGTCTCGAGTGGACAGGCCAGACTGGGTGCGATTGCACAGGTCGACAAGGGGCACAAGAGAACATGGTTCGATGGGAAGCAGCAAAGGGACGGACGCTGGCCTAGATCAGCACAGTGCTAGGGGCTGGGGAGTTTGAGCGTGAATTATCATGGGACCAGAGGAGGAAAGGCGGTGTTGGCCTGATGGGCAGGAGATGGTACTGGGTGGTGTCAGCATATAGTGAAGCGGGTGGAGGACTAGAACACCTAGCTGGAGTCTGCACACTACGAGAGATAACAGGTCCTGGGGCTAGGGTGCTGTTTCAGATAAGGACAGGGTGGAACTCTGCATGGTTGTGGGCATCTGGGGCCTTTTAAGAAGGCTTAAGAGTCTGTCGGAATGACTGGGAGCAGGTGGCAGTTGCTAAGTACTGTTTGAATTTGTCACTGTTCATTTTTCTTACATTGTTTATATGCGAAATCTGTAGCTCTACACTGGATTTGTTTCCGTGTTTTTTTTTTTTTCTTAAACTTTTCAGTGAGCATTTGGAAACGGTTAAGGAATCATGAGATACTACGAAAATATGAGATGCCTCCACACCCACCGGGTCTTCTATTGGGTCTAATAAACCTGCCCTAGCCTTGCCGCTCTAGTTGTACTGGAAACAACTCTTACAGTAAATCCAGGCCTCCCTTCCAATTCTCCCTGGACAATTTCCCTGAGATAATCAGTACAGAATATCTTAGATAATGAGAAACTGGAGAACCCTGTTAGGACATGGGATAGGTAAATGAACACACATACTAGTCATATGTCCCTAGGCCACCAAAAACCACATGGAAGAAGATTAGTGAGGGGGATTTACCTGATGTGCTGCTGAAGGCAAAGAAACAGTAAACAGCTTACATGCATTTATCTTTTTTTTTTAATAAAAAGGAAATGTTTTTATCTGGGGAAGGACTGACTCAGCATGTGCCAGAGGCTGGTGGTGTTGCTTGGAGCTTGCTTGAAGGATAATGAGGTTTCGTTTCTCCATTTTCAGGCTTATGATTTTCAATTTGGTGTAAGCATATATTCCTTTTGGTGTTGAGAAAATATTTTGACCAAACACCTGTGTGTGATTCTGAAACATGTTCTATTGATCATGTCAAAGGAAGAGTGACAGACAGTGTGGAAAAGAAAACACAAAAGGGAGGGCTTCTGCAGTGAGTAACCCCAAGTGCTGAGTGAGCTGAGACGTGTGAATTAGACACAGAACTGGCGAGTTCCGTGAAACCATAGCCTTTGGGGCCATGGCCACTGCCCTCCCCCCATGGGAAGAGAAATCAAGGAAGCTTACAGAGGCCACACCTGACTGAGAAGTATGAAGCAACTGGATTCACTCTGTTAGTGGTAAATGGTGCATCTGATGGTTGAATGAAAAACAGAAACGAAAGGACAACATGACTGCTCCTAGGTGTGGAGGAGGAGAAGGTTCATTGTAGATACAAGGGAGAGCAGAGGCAGAGGCATCTGGGACAGTCCACAGTGAACATGATGCTGAGCCACACCATGTGAGAGGAGGGGCGAGAGGAGAGCCAAGAGTCCAAAAACGCAAAACGGGCTGTGTAACCAGAATGGCTGGGCTGTATAGGGAAGGGCAGTGCAGCCCCTGGGCTGGAGAACTTTAGGGTAGGAGGTGAGGTATGCCAGCCAGGAGGACCCCCATAACAGGTCAGAGGCTGAGGGATACTGGGAGAAGCAGCAAGCGTCAGCTTTGATACCTTAATAGGCGCCTTTGTCCCAGGGTTTGAGACCTAACCATGGTATATTTTCTGGGTGGTGCTCTAAAGAAAACACACAGCCACTATTCCCTCTGATGGCAATTCCAAATTTGAGGTTCATTATCCTAACTAAACACAAAATTCTGGTATCCCTAGCAGTCTGGAGGAACTCAGGGATGCCACCTGAAAGCTGAAGGATTCCATGGGTGCCAAATCTAAGCTCCTGCTGATGTGGCCCTCTGGTCACACTGCAGCACTAAACTGATGCTCCTTCATTTATATACATTTGAGGTTTTGTTTTTAAAAGGCATAGTTCAGTAGAGCTCAGACCACTGACTATAATGGAATAAGATGGGCTTTGGAGGGACATACCTCCACCCCCAACTATGCATGCGCCCCTAAGGAACACGGAATTGGTGAGTTGCAATGGGCTGTGGACTGCGGCTAGTGGCAGCCCTTGCAAGTTCCTTTTGCCCTCCTTTGGCTCCTCCTCCATGGAGATGGAGGGCTGACTGTTAACTGGAGGGAGCAGTGACATGTCACTGTGCAGTTTACTTTAGGCAGTAAGCAGTATGGCGAAGTCCTCAAGTTGGACTTGGTGTGAAGCATGCATGCAGAAGGGGAATGGTTGTGACCTCAGTGTCCCTATTTTGCCTTTCTAATGTGAGAGGGATGTGGTCACTTCGAGGAGCAGAAATAGATGCAAAAGGAGAACCGAGCTGATCCCATCATACACATGTGCCTACTAGGTGCAGCTGTGACTCTGCAGAGGGACCAGCAGGGCTCTGTAGGTCTCCAGGGAAGGATGGCCAGATGGATCCCAACACCAGACAGGCAAACCTGGTCTGATACTCTCATGGCTGAAGGCTTGAAGTTTACCTTGCTTCTGTCTCCCCAGATGAAGGATGCTGATTGGTTCTGTTAGTTGCTAAGACAACACAGGCTTCCCTGAGGTGCTTTATGGAAACATACATAGCAGGGGGTCCGAGCACTGGACCAGCCTGGGGAAGTGGTGATAGGGGTTGAAGTGTGGTGTGTGTTCTGGTGTGTAAGTCATCATTTCTGTAGCTACTTGGCATCTGTTCTGGAATGGCTAGGAAGTCTCCTCCTCCTCTGTGTCAGTGACTGATGTGGAGTGCTTCCTCTAGATGCCTTTGCTCCCAAAGGTGCCTTGAAGATTTGGAGAGATTAGGTGGATGTGCCTGACAAAGTGGGTGTCTCACACTCTGCTGTTCTGTATTTCCGTGTACTTTTCATTTCCAGGGTCATCCACCATGCTCTGTGAAGCTATGAGAACCCACTCAGCCGGGCCATCTTTGATCCACTGATCTTGGTGCTCTAGGGTTCCTCCCATTCTGACTAAACCAGACAGTATTCGTGTCCCTTGATTCAGGAAGTGGACCTAGTAGAGATTTCCAGAGTTGGGAGTTCACCCAGGTCAGGCCCCATAGAAGCTGACATCTTGGCCACTGGTACAATGATGCAATCACAGCAAAATGGGAACTTGTGCCCAGTCTCATGACTTGTGGACAAGTGCAAGATGGGGGACTTTTTTACTCCAGACCCAGGAAGAAAGATTTGCCTTCCTTCCTAGCCCTGTACTAGGCTTTAATGTGCCTGGTTTAGAAGGTGTAAAGTACTCAGGTGTGTGTGTGCACACGGGAATGGAGATCATGGGTTCAAAGCCAGCTTCGTTCTCAGAAATAAAGAACAAAAAAAAAAACAAAAAACAAAAAATGCAGAGCCATACCAAGGCCAGTTGCCCCAGCCCTGTGGGACCATGTTAAATTTTGTTTGAGGAAAAGTAACTTTTGGAGTCCTTGGAAATATGAAATAAACTAGTGTTGCTGCAAGCTGAGACATGAGCGGCAGGTGTAGGCTGTGCACAGAACAGCCTCTGGGTTGTCATCTCTAGAGAATATTTCCATGTGACAGGAGGAAACACATCAGGGGACAGTGACACGGGCTCCCGGAATTGTAGGGGATATGTGGGTATGAGAATCGTGGCCACACAGCTGTGTCCTGTGTTAAATCTAGGGGAAAACCAGCACTTTTAGGATGTTGTCCTTGTTTCTAGGGCCACTGCCAAGTGGCTACAGGTCCCTTTGTCCTTTGGGGTAGGCCTTGGCACTAAAGCTCACGAGCCACACGCCCTGCTTTCTGTGGCTACAGAGTGAGTGAATTAGTGTAGCTTCGTTCATTCAATGGGTGCACAACCCTGTGATGTTCTGCCTCCATCCCCCAAAGTGTGTCTCTGGGGAAGCACTCTGCTCTTGAGGAAGTAGGGTCAGGGTTTGTCCCGCTCACTGTGGGACTGGCCTTCTGTGACTGTTAAGCTGGTTCTGGAAGTGAAAGGCCCATCAGGTGTCATGATTTCCTTCAGTGGTGACACTCTCACTTTTACAGTGTCACAGAGTAGATCAGCATAGTCACCTTTTGCCATTTATACACAGTTTAGAATCACATGGATTCAGCAAGTAACTCATGTGTGCCAGCTGCTGTACCAGGCAGTGGGGTTCTAAAGATGGACAGGTTGGGCTTCCACCTCAGGGCTGGTGTGATACAGGCTGGGGCTCAGTACCAGAGTGCAGTTCAGGCTTGGTCCCAGAGGGCATGTAAGTTTGTGGGAAGGGCATTTGGCCAAGTGCCTGGTGCTTCTCCACAGACTAGAAGGCTTCTCCACAGACTTGCTCCATCTGAAGCAAATGGATTTAAGCTGGCTGGTCCAGTCCAGGTCAGGGCAACTGCAGAGAAGTCAGAACCCAGAGCTTGAGTGTTAAGGTGTGGAGCAAGGTGCAGGAGAGTTTGAGCTTGGGGCCCAGGAAAGGAAGCAGTCATAACCAAACACTGCTAGGTCCCGTACAGTGGTAGTTCAGATTTACCCTGGAAGCTCTGCTAGAGGTTTAACAGAGGAACTACAGCCATGAAAGAACACTGTAGGATAGGGCAGGCTCTTCATGTGAACTGTAGAAGTAACAGCCATTTCGGGAAGTGAACTCTTAGGATGTTCCGGATTAGGGAACCTCAACCTATACCACATACCAGACCTTACTTCAGGTCCGAAGCATCCAAGGCTCATGGTCTGCTTGTCTCTTGGGGAAACCAAGTCCCAGAAATGTCAAGAGTAGGTCTGAACCCAGGTGTTCCTAGCCCCATGTCCATAGATTTGGCAGAGATGGAAACATGATGATTTTATTAATAGCTTTTCCAAGCACAGAACATGAAGGAAACATTCTTACCTCAGAATATAGAAGTGAAAGACCTCAACAGAGTATATTCCAGTGTTAGTTACTGTTTGGCCCCTGGATTATGTGGTTTATGACCAGACTGCTGCAAAGGCTACGACTGAGACTGGAGTTCTGTGGGAGTAGCATAGCCCAAGTCTGAGTCAGAACCCTTCTGCCTCCCTCCGTGGCTGAGCATCTCAGAGTCATCTTTTTTCCTTCTCCTGTGCTGTCTGTTGGTCTCTTGCAGGGTTTATGTACCTTGGAAAGCATAAGAGTGAAGTAGAGAGTTTAAGATGTGGTGTAGTGAATAGACTGTGTGTTGGAGGGAGGCGGTGGTGTTTCTTGCTTTCCTGCTTCTTTTGAGTCAGCTCAAGATGAATTCTTCTTTCTTCAGATTGAGGATGGATGCCCGAAGATCCTCAAGACAGCTTCACTGAAAGTGAGGAGCAGTGTCAGGCCCAGCTGCCCAGTGTTGGCCCCGGGGACACCTCTGGCATCCAGATTAGGATCATGACTCCTGTGAGCAACCATGGCATGGCAGAGAGCATTTTTGACCTGGACTATGCTTCCTGGAAGATTCGCTCGACCCTGGCAGTGGCTGGCTTTGTCTTTTACCTGGGCGTCTTTGTCGTCTGCCACCAACTGTCATCCTCCCTGAATGCCACCTACCGCTCTCTGCTGACCAAAGAGAAAGTCTTCTGGAACCTGGCAGCTACCCGTGCAGTCTTCGGTGTCCAGAGCACAGCTGCTGGCCTGTGGGCTCTGCTGGGGGACGCTGTGCTCCACGCTGACAAAGCTCTTGGGCAGCAGAGCTGGTGCTGGTTTCACATCACCACAGCCACTGGGTTCTTCTTCTTTGAGAACGTGGCTGTGCACCTATCCAATCTGTTCTTCCGGACGTTCGACCTGTTCTTGGTTGTCCACCACCTCTTTGCCTTTCTTGGGTTTCTGGGTTCAGCCGTCAATCTGAGAGCTGGCCACTATCTGGCCATGACCACTTTGCTCTTGGAGATGAGCACACCTTTCACCTGCATTTCCTGGATGCTCCTGAAGGTGGGTAAAGGGGTGTGGGGAGTGCTGTGGCTGCCTGCAGAGCAGGGTGCCTTACACAGTACCACATTGGCTGGAGTGTCACTGGGACCTGCTCTGAGGCAGCTGTGTAGCCAGACATCACCTGGCTGAATTCCAGCTTCTCAAATTTAAGTCTCAGAGTTATAAAAAAGATCAGTGCCTCTTTAGACTCGGTCACTAGTGCTATATGGTATAGGAAGCATTATTGTTTTAGTTCGATACTTAAAATGTTCTGGAGAAGACCCGACATTGGTGGCTCATGCCTTTGATTCCAGAGGCAGGCGGATCTCTGTGAGTTTGAGGACAGCCTGGTCTACAGAGTGAGTTCCAGGACAGGCTCCAAAGCAAAGTAGAGAAACCCTGTCTGGAAAAACAAAAACAAAACAAAACAATGTTCTGGGAGATCTATTTGTGATACACTCATAAGGCCATCCCTTAAATCAGTTTCTTTTAGCCTTTGGGGTGTGTCAGCATATGCATGCATTTTTATGGCAGTGTGAGAGCAAGTTTCTTTTCTTTTGTTGGGTTGCTGGATTCAGAAGTTGGTTTCTGGTCCACCTGGAGGTGACATAACACAGCCTCCTAGCGAGCCTTGACTCAGAAGCCCATGGTCCTGCCTCAGAACAGTGGCCCACACCTTAGCTTCCTGGTTTCCAAATTCTGTACGTACAGGCTCGTGTCTCATCCTGGGAGGGAGCAGCTGCCACATCTGCATCTGGGGTTGGCAGCCTGAGGAGACCCAAAGGCTGCTGCCAGGAAGCACCTGGGCTATGTGGAGTGGCCAGGCTGGGCTTTGTGTCCTTGGCAAGGCATTGAGTGCTGCTCAGCTTCAGCCACAACTGCAGAAACTCACTTCTGTGCTCATAGCGTGGTGCTGCAGAAAGTCCATTTGAGCCTTCATCCAAGGCCCTCTGAGGTGAGGGAGCTAAAGGAACAAGGACACACATTCTGTCCAAACTGTTGCAGGGCGTGCGCCCGATGCTGCTAGATGAATGGGGCCCATTTGCTTTATGACATGTGCTAATTCAAGATAGAAAGATTTGACTGTTGCCTTAGGGAGTAGGAAGTAAGCAGTGCAGGCCGCACCGATTAGGTGCTGGCCCAGGCTCTCATCTTCCTTCAAAATTAAACCCGGGAGAGCAAACGCTGGCAAGAAGCCCATTGCTTTGAACCGAGTTAATGGTGCGGAAAGGGCACAAGCACCCTTTCACCTCCTGTACTCACACCGTGTTTATTCTGTCCACAGGCTGGCTGGTCAGACTCCCTGTTTTGGAAGGTCAACCAGTGGCTAATGATCCACATGTTCCACTGCCGAATGATCCTCACCTACCACATGTGGTGGGTGTGCTTCCAGCACTGGGGCGCCCTAGTCGACAGCCTGTACCTGCCTCACTTTGCACTGTTCCTATGTGGGCTGGCCCTGCTCACACTCATCATTAACCCCTACTGGACACACAAAAAGACCCAGCAGCTTCTAAATCCTGTGGATTGGAACTTCACCCAGTCCGAAACCAAGGGTGCCAGGCAAGAAAGGACCAATGGCCAGGTGCCTCAGAAAAAGAGGCTCTAGCGCCCAAGGACCAGGCGGCTCCACGGATAGTGACTTTTACAGATGAGGTCATGAATGAGTTTAGATCTAGGTGAATACTAACTTGTTCTTTAGTATTAATTCTACAATAGCCCGAAGTATTGCAGGGACCTTGATTTGCCCACAGGAGGGCTATGCCATCATGGTCTTCTGATTCCTCTGGTGTGGCCTCAACCATGCTGTGTCTGCCCAGCCAGGGTCAGGGAAGGAGCCATGGTGGCTAGGTGTGCAAGCTGCTAAGAATGCCAGCCTGGATACTTGAAACGACTGCATTAGGAAGGACCCCGAGTGGATGTGGACGAGTCAGCACACTCACGGCCTGTGGGCCTTATTTGGAAGTCATGTTTCTTTTCATTACAAGAGTTGGCCTAAGAAAATGTGATTTGCTGATACTTGTGAAAATTTCCCAGTGTGTGGAATTTTAAGCCTGTGGTGCAGCAGCACCCTCTAGTGGCAACTTGTGGAAGGACATGTTTTAAAGGGTTTTTCTCAATGGCTAAGAGTTCATCCACCCCTTCTGGCTTGGTGTCTGGATCTTCGAGAGCTATTTCTGATTGACCAAAGTGGCTAGCCTCGCTCCAGTTCTGCTCTGTCAATTTCAGGTCAGGGCAGTGACTTTTCCGCTCTGGGCTGTGAAGGGGGGGTCCTGTACCCAGAGATGCTCTGCCTGAGTTGCCAGGGCCCAGAACAAACAGGCGGCTTGTCTAATGTGACTATAGGCAAGGGTTCCTACTGCACTATTTGTGGGTGGGATGTCCAGGCACCGGCTGTCAATGTTACTGACAGACACAGAAACTTTCTTCAAAAGTATACAATTAAAGTGCATTTTATTTTTGTCACAACTACCTTTGAAATGGTGGTTGCTCTTGAAAATCATGTGTGACTTATGCAAGCCATGGATCATGGGCCTCAGCATGTTCTGAATACCAGTGCTTTTACTTTATCGGGATGTATGATGCCTATTTATTTCATTCTAAGAAAGTCTTCATTTTGTGTCCCTAAGATTGTCAGCCGACGAAAACCCCGTAGCTCCTATATCTGCTTTGCACAGGCCTGCCTGGCAGTTTTTAACAGGGCAGAAGTTTAATAAAGTTATAGCTGTTTACAGAACCCAAACACATGCCAGTTCTTGTCTGCTAACGTGAGCTCAAACTCGCTGTTGGAGTATCTGAGAACACTCTGCGTCCAGGACATGTTGGCAAGTCTTCATGTAACCAGAATACAGTGGGAAAGTTCAGCCAACTTTCTCTGACCTATACTACACCAGAAATGTGACCTCATACTACATCCTCTGTCTTTATGGTGTCAGCTGGGCACCATCCTGTAGCTTAGGTGGCCTCTGGTTGCTCCACATATCTTTCTGACTAGGACTTCTCCCTGGGACTTTGGAGACAAGAGTGTCTGATAAGGCTGTGGAGGTGATGTGAGCAGTGGCTCCTGCCTTTATTGCCTCGACAGTGGCCACCCTTTCTAGTTATAGCACCTTTGTGGTCTCCGCTGTCTTGCTAGACAGGTCTCCGTGAGGGGCGTGGTGCAGAGGACACTGAGGAGCCACAGCTCACTCATGTGAGCCTAGGCTTGGCCTGCTGCTTGCACCGCCCAGCATTCAGCTAGATGTGTCCCCCACAAGACTCAATGCATCATCTCTCAGGAATTAGAACAGGGTATGGTGTTGCTGAATGGTAGAGTGCTGAGGTAGCGTGTATGAGGCCCCACCTGCCTTCTGCCTTCTGCTACCGCTAAAAGGACACAGGCTCTCCCACTTGACTAGTAGGCACCACCCTTCTCTCAGGGTAGAGAAATACTTCTATATACCTGTGTTGTTTCAAGGTTAGAGAATATGATGGGTCAGGGATACTGAGTGGCAGTAAACAGCCCAGTGTCTTCCCCATCTCTTACTGATGGCTTGCCCCCTGCCCCTTTAATTTATCACCAGCTCTTATGTCTCTCAACATGCCACAGGCTTCCCCAGTAGTCCTGGGCTTAGGACACACACCTAGTGACTACCTGTTGGCTGTTGTCTTCTTTGAGGCATTGGGATGTCATGGCTCTCTTTATACAGACAGCTCCACAGTAGCCATTGTTACTCCCACAGTATATAGCTAGGGAAGCTAAAGTCCAGAGAGGTGTTGACTGTCCATAGTGACACTGCTAGCAAGAGGCCATATCTCTACCAGAGGTTTTAAGTGCCCATTCACACAGCCTGTGGTGGGTGACCCTTCTGAAGGGAGTTCTGAATTGTCTCTCCTGTGTGCTGTACTGACAACACCCGAGCTTGCCCCTCAGGAAGAGCAGAGACTAACCACATCTAGTTTTGCAGGCTTAGAGGTCCAAGGTCAGGTGCTGGTGGCGTCAGTCAGGAAGAGGCCTGGTCGTTCCTATGTGGAACATTGCTTTACCCCCAGGTGGAAGAGATGCCTAACTCAGTCCGGTCATGACCGGACACGTGCTGACTTACGTGAGTCCTCTGGCCGGAGCTGTTGCTGCTTGTGGACGCTGGTAGCTTGTAGAGACTGGGTATAATGTGTCAACATAACTTTGGAGGGGCACATTCAAATGCTAGTGCCAAAAGAGTGTTGGCATACCCGGTGTCAGTAGGGCTTCATGAGCTCCACATAGGGATGGTGTCTCTAGTTCCCTGACCTATTCCAGACATTGGCAAGTGAGTGAATGAGCCAACAAATGGCAGATATGCTGTGTGTGGCAAAAGGCATGCCAACCCAAAAGGGAGACAGAATGTTTGCTGAGGGCATATTCAACAAGGTAAGGCAGGATAGGAGGCCAGGAAGCCATCTCTACCCCACATAGCAAGGAGGGCCCTGGGAAGAGACCTGGGCAGGTAGGTGGCCCATATGGGAACTAAGGTGCTAGCCTTTTCTTGGAACCCACGTGGGAACTCACCTCTTCGCCCTGTGCCATCTCCTCTGTTCACCATTGTGATGGTTTATATTTGGTGATTTCATTGTTATGCTCCAATCTGTCAGTTCACTATGTTAAAACAAATAGCCTCGAACTCGTCAACATATTTTTTTTTAAAAATGAACCCAAAGCTGAAATCCTTAGTTATTACTAAAAGTTATAGTTGCAAATCTTCCTATCTAAAGAATCCCTGCCAAGCTTCACAGGTCATGATTTTCTGAGATCCATGGAAGGCCTGCCCCTTTCTGAGCCCCTAAAGAGGAAGGATGGATGAGGAGGGTTTACAGAGTGGGAGAGGGGGAGGGGAAGGACAAAGAAGAATCCCTGCCAAGAATTTAAAACAAAACTGTAAGTCTTTTAAACTGCAGTCCCTGTAACTTTCACAGCGTTCGCTGTTTGTTTTCAGAACTGCTGTGCCAGCCACAGAATCCCAGAAGCACAGGGCATCTCAGCCTCTGTTCGCCTTTCTGGAGGAACTTCTCAGCGCATGAGGTCCACCCAGAAACATTGTTTCCACACAAAACAAACAGGAGGGAGAGCTGCAGGCTCCTCCTATGTGTGCGTTCCTTAGTTTGTGACTGGCTCAAATGCACAGCACCAAGAAGCTCAGGAAAAAACTTCGTTTATCAAGCCTGGCTTTCCTTTCTTACTCTGGGGCTCTTGTTTGGCTCAGTCACACTGAACTCGTGGCTAGTCGACCCTCTGAAGTGGTTCCCTGTCTCCCTGGTAATCCTTGTGTTCACATATCATGGAACTGACTAGCAAGCATGACAGGGCTCCTCCTGGATGGTGTGTTTTTCTTCCCAAAGGAAGGTAACCCTCGAAAGCAGAGAGCCCCCCTGTTTCCTGTTCCTTTCTTAGTCATATCTGCAGGGCCATCTGCTCTTGTCACTGCAAGGACCTGCCAGAGGGACAGGCGGGAACAAAGAATGCAAGATTGGACATGTATCCTATTAAGAGCAACACAAGGCTCCCCTTCACCGCTGCCCCCCCCCACACACACATGTGAATGTGCTGATAAGCCGCACCAGCCCCTTTCACTATGAACAGTTACTCAGGGGGACCTTCCAGGATGGGTTTGCTGACCTTTCGGAATCCTTTGTCATTTCAGGAGCTAGGCTCTGAGTTTAGAGCAAGTTACTCAGTGTCATTTTCTTTTATTTTTGACACTTTTGTTTGCTTAATAGAAAAGCTGAGAAAATGAAAACAAACCAAAATGCTTTTCATTTACTATTTTTCCTTTCCAAATTTGCCAATTTCTAGCAAAATTCCGTCACACATTAAAGCAGTTCTTCCCAACCTGTCTGTTTTCTGTCTCTCTCTGCCTCCCCCTTTCTTTGTTCCCCATTGTTTCCTTTCTCCTTGTCATTAGCTTTTAAAAGTCCCTTTGTCCCCCCTCTTTTTATTTGGAGATGGGTCTCTCTATACTGCCCAGGCTGGCCTAAAAAACGGGTTTAAGGGATCCTCCTGCCATAGTCCTCATGCCTGCTGAGACTATTGGGGGTTCATCACTTCTGGCATTTCATAAGGACAAAACCATTTTAACCTGTAGCCACACTAACCCCACCAGAGTCCAGGCTTTTTCTCTAATTATATCCTGATATTTCCTTCCTGCATGCCCTCCCAATCCAGGACTGTTGAGTCATGTCTCCTGTGTCAGTCAGCCTCTTATGGTTCCTCAGCCTCTTTGCCAGCTGGCAATGTTAATTCAGTCCCTCTTCTGCTTTGTATGGTGTTTGTCAGGCTGGGTTCAAGGCACACATCTGGCTAGAATACTTAGGTAACCCTGGTCTTTCATGGAGTGTCAGGTTGGAGGTCTTCATCTGTTGCCCTGAGTTATTAATTTTGGTAACCTGATTAAGACAAGCAACTGGAACAATTTGGATATAAGTTGTGTGGAATTCCCTATTCCAGAGTGGAACAGTCTAGTCTTCCCTTGCTCTGGGAAATTCCCAGAAAGTGAGTGAGGTCATGAGTTGGCATGCAGGTAAAGCCAGGAGAGGGCAGTTGTTTAGATGTCCTTGAGTCCTGGCACTGGCCAAATGAGGATCGGAGCTAGAAAATTCAGTTTGGAGCATGGGGATAATAGGTGGCATCAGCGGGAGTCCCCTGTGAATGAGACTCCTGTGTCTGATAATTGAGGTTTACAGCTAAATCCATACATGTGCATTGCTCCACCTCTGTACACAGCAGAGTGTGAGATAGATGGTGGAGACTGGGAACTGTCCTCTCTCCTTCCGGGCTAATGGAGATAAACCCACTTCCTTCCCCCCTGTGCCTGTGGGTTTCCTCGGAGCAGTGAGCAAGGAACCCGAGATTCCGGAAATGGTCTAGTTGCCTGCTGTTGGCTTTGCAGGAGATACGGTTCATGATTTTTTTCCTTTGTGTATGTGAGATATGAAGTGATTTAAACAACTATCTATGTTTGTAGACAATACAGTATAATAGCCTCTAAGAAGCTGTGGGCTTTTATTGTTGTCTGAGGTGGGCCTGGAAAAGCTCCATCCTCCAGCCTCAGCTTTCCTGTGCTAGGATTACAGTTACACAACACCGCAACCAGCTAATAGTTCTTTTTAATTGATTATTTAATTTTTCTATGTATGACTGTTTTGACTACCTGTATGTTGTCTTAGGGTTTCATTACTGTGAAAAGACACCGTGATCATGGCGATGCTTCTAAAGGAAAATATTTAATCGGGGCTGGCTTACAGTTCAGAGGTTCAGTCCATTATTGACATGTTGAGAAGTGTGGTGGCATGCAGGCAGACATGGTGCTAGAGAAGGAGCTTCTTGAGTTCTACAACTTGATCTGCAGGCAGCAGAAGGAGACTGTGCCACACTGGGTGTAGCTTGAGCATAGGAGACCTCAAGACCTCTCTCCACAGTGATGCACTTCCTCCAACAAGACCACACCTTCTAATAGTGCCACTCCCTATTGGCCACATTTAAACACATAAGTCTATGGGGGCCATTCCTAGTCAAACCACCACATACGTCTATGCACCACGTAGGTGTCTGGTGCCAAAGGAGGCCAGAGAGGACAATGGAACTCCTGGAACTGGAGTTACAGATGGCTTTGAGCTGCCATGTGGGTGCTGGAAATCAAACCCAAGTCCCCTGGAAGAACATCCAGTGCTTTAAAGCACTGAGCCATCTCTCCAGCTCTAGCTAATAATTCTTAAAGTAAGTCAGTGAAA